TAAATTTATAATTTATTCAACCGTACCGTGCCGCCTGTACGCAAAATCCTCAAACTTGGACACGTTCGAATGCCGTTCAAATTTTTTGACTGAAAGTAAAGTACTGTTCTTTTATTTTTCATTCATTATTTGTTGTATATTTCCCAAATTTTTTATACGTTTTTCCAGTTTACAAATGTTTTATAATTTTTCATTAATTTTCAACAACTTGACTCTCCTTGAATTTTGTAATCAACTACATTATTCGTCATCCGGTTCATTTATACAATTATTCAATGAGCCAACTAACTTGGGCAGTAACTTCAAGTGAGGACTTCCAAGTTTGTGCGCACATTCAAATGCATCGTAAGCATTCTTCTCACTGCTAGCTCGCACTCAAGTTTCACTACGATACATGCGTCGTTGACTACCGTAAATTAATTTTTCCATTAATTTATTTTGTTTCGATAATTTTTCAGTATAAATTTAGAAAGGAATCATATGAAGTTAATTGCACGTTTAATATTTTTAACGTGTTTTGCTTGATCTAAACAAATTGTGAAAGTAATGTTTAAAAGATGAGAACGTATGAGTAGCAAGATTATTTTTAATGACTTATATCCAATTTAATTATTTTTTTTTTGAAATGGCAAATTGAAACAATTATAAACAAGGTTACGGTTTTTACACGAATACTTTGAATCGACAACAAACGTTTCAACTGGATGTTGCGTTGAAGTTAAACAAACCGGCCACAATGATTGAATGCAGAGTTGCCTGCTTGGCACGTGCTCGTCAACAGTTTCAAAGTGAAGGCCGTATGCAAACGAGTATTTTTATGCTAAATCACAAATAACAAAATATAGGCTATAAAAGTGAATGTTGCATACAGCTAGTTCAATATGTTTCTTTTATCATGTTAGTAAACGTAAATAAATATACCAGCATATTGTTTGTATCTAACTGAATCTACTTTTTATTTGCTTTTTTACTGAATAGCCTTCATCGAGAGTATTTTTTTAAAGTAACAGAAGAATAAATTTAACGTCGTTACTTATAAACATATAAATTTTAATATATATATATAATATACTATATAATACATATATATATAATACTAATAATATATATATATATATATTTATTCATTTCAGAATATCAGTGTTTTATTGATGATGTAGACCGAATAGCAGCGGATCGAATTTTGTGCAGCACATTTCTCGAATCGTATCGATAATTATAATTAATTAGGAAAAATAGCAGCTACTGAATCAATAACGAGGACGGTATTAAAAATAATGAAAGCGAGTAAACAGTGTGTGATTGCCGTGCCAACAACAGAGACTCTACTCTACAGTACTGTAACAATAACAGTACTGTACAGAGACATGTACAAAGAACACCACATGGGTAAACAGCATTCGTTGTAGTTGAAGTAACGTGTTAAGTTAATTACACAAAGTTTATAGAGCGCCCTAAAGTAAATATTTATTGAAAATTTTATAAATTTCGTAAAACTTCCAAACGCGCCAGTTAAAAATAGAAATTTTGGGATATTGATGGTGGAGGCGTTCAGGGCAGTGGAATGATTTAATTTGTCAAACCTTCGAAAATGAGATCTGACAACCGCAGTATAGAGTTGAATCGCTCGTAAAAGAAGGTTATGAAGAAGGAGAAGATAATTAAAAATAACTACCTGCAACTATATTAGATAAATAGCTCTTTAAAACAGCTTGAGAGCAGGAATGCTCACATGTAACTTTTGTCGTTGAAAATGTAAGCTTGATATCAAACTGGTATTTTCTCATACATTTGCCGGCTGATTTGTTACATTTCGGCTATTGAATAAACACACACATACATACACACACATTAAACATTCTTGGTCAAAGTATTCGCGAGAGTAGGTACTGTTAAAATTGAACATCCAACATCAAGCGTTCTCGGACAACACAACCAAATCAGTAGTTTCATTTAAAAAAAAGTAGCGCCTATACTTTCAATAATAACGAAAACAATCACAAACATCTACAATAATAAAATTCGATGTAAGACGTAAACACGTACCTATAATACATACTGAGAAAAACACTGACATACGCGCGGGCTGACATTTTAAGAAATTGTTATTAAATTTGTCAGCGTGTTGTCATTTAGCACAGTCTTTTCAGTTGCATTGGGTATGTGTAAATTCATATTCGTGAACATTAAAACGGTGATCCTTTATATGAGTTTGGAATTAATTAAGGTAAATGTTCAGCTGGCTGGTAAATTAACGTACCATTGTACAATTAAGAAAATTTGCAAGGTGTGATATAAAAAGGCGCGAACAAACGTTCCAGGACTACCGACTAAAATAAACTTCTCTAAATAATAATAGCAACTAGTATAATTAAATAATAATGATATTTAAAAGAGAAGTTCGTATAAATAATATCAGGACTAACGATAAACTGAAATGATTAAGAAAAATTAAAGTAATAAGCAAATAATTAATCATAAAAACATGTAAATGATAAATATATAAAAGGCCACGCAAAATTTGATTAAATTGAGAGGACTACCACACTGAAAAGTGTAACTCGCATAGATGTAGCGGCTATTTTTAATTTTATGATAACTGGATAACATGTTGAGATCTAACGGGAAAATGAATCAATTAACCAGCCACGTATTCAAAAATTTGTTGGCTGTATTGATTTGTTAAAAAATTTGGGTGACCTTTTTATTGCTTAACGCAGTTATCTAACAAATTAAAGATAAAAAACCAGCTTTTTTAAACCAAATTTTATTCTTGTGGGTGGAGGCTGTTCCCAGTCGTAATTTTACCAATTTATATAGAAATTTGACCTTAACTCTACTAAAACTATTCATTGTAGAGGGGTTTCAGCTCCAAAGTCTTCTGCACTTTTGGCTACGCCTCTGTTATTTCATAAAACATCTACTTGAAACAAATTAGTGATAAGAATCAACCTTCTTAGATTCTCTACTATTCTCTATAAGATTTTAACCATAAATACAATAAAGTAATTAATTAGTATATAAGGGTATGATTCCATCAGATCAACTAATCTATAATTATTTTTTAATATTAGAATTTCTTCGAGTTTTATGAAAAAAATGAATATATATATACCTGCTCTATCGTTTATGAATTGAATAAATATTTATGAAAAGTATACGTCGCTAAACATACTTTTTTAATTACTTCTTCAGTTTACAATTTCGATTGTTGAATTTTGTTTTTTCTTATGAATATTTTTTTTTCAAATGCAGTACATATATCTGACGCAAAAAATAATTGAAAAAACGACATTTTTAACTAGCAAAAAACAACACTCTTTAAAAAAACTTTAAAATCCCTTTTCATTGAAACGTACAGAATAAATGGAACGGAGACGGATCCAGACAACATTGACGAGTAGGGGACCAAACTAGAAATTTTTTGTGAGGGTGTTTAAAATGCTGATAGCTCTCACTTTTTTGATCGCCGTGCAATTTCTCATCAAAAATTTACTATTTAATAGTGTTTTAATGCAAAATAGCAGTTACGCGAAATTTAAGGAAACTAAAAAATATTTGCTGAACGGTTGATAACAGGGAGGTGGGAAAGCACTTGCTAAATTTGCAATTGAGAGAAAATAATTTTTTGGTCACTAGTGAAGGGTTCTCTTTAATTATATATTATTTCACTCTATTTCATTTTAAATTTATTAATTAATTTACATAAGAAAGTTTAAAAATTTACACCCCTTAGAGTGCGCGGCAAAGCCTTATGTATCTATATAATTTTAGAAATGGAAATATGGAACATAAATGTAAACTCCAACCGGAACGAATAGGAAAAGATGAGGAAATGCGACAACGTCTACAAGGGAGTATCTATTCCAAGTAAGGGAGTATCTATTCCAAGTAAAGGACAATTATTTACGGCCGAGTTTTTCCTTTATTCAAGTTGAAAAATAAAAGCAATAATAAAACTATATGAAAAAAAGCTCAGCAAGTTTATCAATAAAAGCAAGTTTATTAATATAATTAATTATTGTGAGCGTTCATATTGTAATTAATAAAGAAAAGATCAATAGAAGCAAAAAAATCAATTGTGTAAAACCACTACCCAATTTAATATTTGGAGCTGTAATTGCTTCAAAGTGATGAAATCATCTATACTGACTTTGCAACAATTTGGACTTTGCAACAATTTGAATAGTAAAAAAAGTATTATTGGTAAAAAACAATAAATTAATTGAAAAAGTTGTAGAAAAAATTGTCATTGAAGTATTTGTGTTTAATTTTATGAAAGGAAATAATAGACAAAACGACACAACCAATTCAAATGATTACAAAATCTTCACAATAAAACGAAATACACAAATAATGTCACAATATATAAAAGGCATATACTGAATAGAAACAATAACAAAACGAAAACAAAAACTGCAGATATTTAAAAACATGCAACAAACGTTGAAATCCTCTAGTATCGAGGCAAAATTTGTGTGTCCATCGAGGAAGAGACTGGCAACGCACGTTACACTAGTTATGCACATAAAATGGCGATCAGAACACTTGCCTCCATATTTCAGCTTTCAGATATCTTTTTAATACGCGACTATTTATTTATATATATGTAATATATATATATATATATATGTATATATATATATATATATATATATATATATATATGTATATATATATATATTTTAGGTTTAGACTATCATAAATACAATTATTTATATATATATATATATATTTTAGGTTTAGACTATCATAAATACAATTATTTATAAAGATCACTGCGTTTTCGGCATTATTCAACTTGTAGTTGAGTTACCGTAAGCCTTTATAAATAATTGTATATATATATATATATATATATATATCAACTTAATGTATAATATATTGAAAATTATTGAAATTTATAAAAATAAAATCTAACAGAAAAATTAAGAAAGGAATGTAACGAAAAGTTTTGTATACGTGGAAAAAAGGAGAAAGGAGAATGACGAGTCACCTTATTTAACCCACAAAATACAGAACAAAATCTCGTGCAAATAACCAGTTGGGTTCAATGAGAAAAAGTAATAAAGCTCCTGATGGGAAAAACTGAACAATTTTTTCATACATTTCCCATGAAAAATAAAAAATTTACTGGATAGGGTAACGTTTGATAGTAATGCCATACCAAAACTTCTGAAAAAAATGACCCAGTTCAGATATTGATCCAAAAATGATATGGCACAAATAAACATAGGAGGAAAAAATACTTAGTCTTAAATACTTAAATATTTGTTTGGCGAGATCATGCAACATGAACATTAAAAAAGAAATAAAAAAAGAAAACAGAAAAACTGGAAAAAGTGTAAGAAAATGTCTAGATTTAAAATAAAATTATTAAAATCCTTTACAACAGCCAAAAATTTGTATGGATCGTTTGAGTTAATGAAAATCAAAAAGACATTCCAGTGTACTTCAAGACATGCAACGACAAAAATGTCATTATGCCATGGTTTCCACCAAACTACATTATTTAGTGAGTTTGAATTAATATAATACAAATATCAAACCATCAAACATCAAAAGAATTAGAAACAGATTTGAAAAGATCATAATAAAGAAGATATTGTTTGACACTGTGAGGTAATATTTCAATTCTTTCCACCTTCTCCATCAAATCACATTTACCAAAATGCCGCCTAATAACAGACCTGCACAACCATTTTAGTTTCCAAGGAGCAGACGTGGCCTCCCACACCAACTGTCGCAACTGCTTCAAACGATCTTCTGGCAACTGGTGCAGACCCAAAGTGGAAGCCGATGAAGGAATGACGGTGACCACAGTTGATGTCGTGGCCGCCGACGGAAGAGTTTTCTGACAGACCTTTCTGGGTGAAGTTTCAATCCAGGATGCAATTGAGTCCATTTTACAACCAGCTCTAATCAGAATGGTGGCTATGTCCCATGCCCTTGATGCCACAGCAAAATGAATTGGAACACAGGTTCGATATTTCTTTGAATCTTCCGATTCAGACTCGCTAGAACTCATGGAAAATGATGGAGGTGACGAAGACGATAAAATACCGCCAGTACTACTTCCACTGTTCAGACAGTCGCCGAAGTTTTTGATTCCCCACACGCCATCCAGATGCACCAATCCAGGCATGTCTATATCACAATTAACATTCAACAACAACTGCACCATACGCAAGCTATTGAGAGCAATGGCAATGAGTAGAGGAGTGGAGGCAGGAACCGGATCTCCGTTGTGGGTCAGTGTAGATGACGTTACATCCGGATTTGCTCCGTGCCTCAGCAGCGATCTTAAAATTGCAGATGGTGCACATGCTCTAACCGCTACATGGAGGGCGGTCCATCCTTCAGGTGTTCGAACATCAGGGTTTGCTGAGATTATATTCTCTAAACTTTGGTAGCTGCCTAATAAATGGTTATTGATAGGATTCAAAAATAACTCAACTATTTCAGTTTTTCTATTTGAACATGCAACCATAAGTGGAGTGGCCCCCAGATTTGCTCGACAGTTTGGATCTAATCCAAGTTTCAGTAGAGATGCACAGGTTCTTTTTTGACCGGAACATGAAGCCCAGTGCAACGATGTTAGTCCCTCGTAATCAACAACATTAACGTCAGCCTTCATCTCCAACAAGAACGTTGAAATAGATTCATCATGACCACAGGCCACCAAGAATGGTGTCCTCCCTTGGTTGTCTCTTGTTTCTAGCTGAGCTTTCAACTCTGATATTAAAATCTATAAAGGAGTAAACAAAAATAATTAAAAAAATTTAAAAAAATAATTAATTCTGAATAATGTTTATTAAATAATTTAGAAAAAGGTGTTGTGGCTAAGAGTTTTAAGCACATAACAATAAAATATAAGCAACAGGCATTCATTGACGATTCAAATTAATAATTCAAAACATTGTAAAAATTTTAAATAATTTTAATATTTGTTTTGTTACCTGAACATTATCAAGACGCCTATTTCTTATTGCTCTAAAGAGTGCCAAATTTAGAAATGAATTCCACTCCTCTTCAGAATATTTACACCGGTTTGGATTATCAAGCACCATGGCTTTAACTATTTCTGGCTTGCCTTCTTGCACTACATACATGAATGGTGAGTCGTCAAATCCGTGCCGACCATATTGACCTTGGAAGGGGTCCAGATGAAGTTCATTCATCAAAATTCGAACCTGCACAAAAGTATATTTAACAAATTGAAATTTATGCTGTTTAAATTTTGCATAATCTTATGAATGAAAAAATTTAAATTTTGTTGAATTATAACAAACAAGAGTGGAATATTTGTTGCATGCAAACTAAATTACATGAAAAAATTTTTTTATGAATACAAATAAAATGTGGCAAACTTCAGCGGGATCAACAGTGTCCCAATCCTCATTCTCTACAGGAATATCTAAAGAATAACACAACTTAATGAACGGGATGTCCTTTGTACCGAGAGCAAGACTCATCTTTGCAATTTCCGTGTTGCAGCCATTGTCTCTGAGATATTCCATGATAGCAACATGTCGACAGCGAAATGCATGAACAAATGGAGTGTCTCCATTGTCATCCTCTGTGTCAATCTCCGCACCAGCTGAAAAAAGTATCTGATGATGGATATAATATTGCACTTTGTTGAAATAACAAACAAAAGTTCATAAAATTAAATGTATGAAGTTAACTTTATGGCAAAAAATTAACTTGATAAAAGGAAATTAATGACCCTGACACATCCCAGAGATCCAACTTTTGCAGCCTGAATTAGAGCAGTGTTCAATCCTGGTTTGTAGTGAGGCGTCCACTGCAAAACTTGCTTCAACAGCTCCACAACATCTGATTGAACATTCTTTGAGACACTATGCAATGTGTGAATTTTTGCAAATCTAAGTTATTCAGGGAAAAATGTTCAATAAAAAACAAAATTAATAGACATTTATTTTGATCACCACAAAAAAGTCACATGAAATTTCTCCACTTTTTAGTTGCAGCCAAATTCATGAACATCTTGTTTGAAAAGACTCCATGAAATTTTAATAAAAACTAGAAACCTTGGAAAACTCAATTTGACCAATTGGCTGAGTGGATTTTTTTGAGTTAGTTGTTCATTATGTTTAACAAATGTTGACAGATGACAAATGGTTTTGCTATTATATATACATCAATAGCAGCTAAAAAACTCTTAGAAATATATAATTATATATGGACAAAATCTAAAATTCCAAAAATCTGGCATCATGCAATAGTGCTCCCCTTCAATAAACCAGACAAGCCCAAAGATTCACCAGATAGCTATAGACCCATATCCTTAACCAGTTGTACATGCAAAATTTTCGAGAAAATAATTCACAATAGATTAATCTGGTATCTCAACAAAATAACATAATAACAAATATTCAATGCGGTGGAAGAAAAGGTAGATCAACGATAGATCACATTATATCAATGGAAACTTACATAAGGAATGCTTTAGCCAACAATGAACAGGCATTAACCATCTTTTTGATGTAGAAAAGGCATACGATACCACATGGCAATATGGAATCATGGACAATCTACACAAAGCTGGCCTAAGAGGATTGTTACCCAAGTTCATAGAAGGCTTTTTATCAAATCGGACATTTCAAGTACAAGTGAATAATGTTCTGTCAGAAGTCATGCATTTGGAGATGGGCATACCCCAAGGAAGCATCCTATCTCCAATCCTTTTTGCCTAAACATCAACACAATCAACCACATATATATTTGACATGTTTATACATGGACGACCTGGCAATAACCATCAAAGACAAACAAATAAACAATATGGAAAAAAAAAACAAATAAAATATTGGAAGACATTGATAAGTGGTCAACAACAAACGGGATAAATTTCTCAAAAACCAAAACATATGGCCTGATTTTCTCCAGAAAAAGAAAAGAAAAGAATACCCAAGAATAGTATTCCAAAATAATGAAATAAAATTTAAAGAAGAATATAAATTTTTGGGAGTTAAGTTCGATAATAGATTAAACTTCATCTCTCACATCACTAAAATTAAAATCAAATGTCAAAAAGTCCTAAATTTAATTAAAACAATATCATACTATAATTGGGGTGCAGATCAAAACAACCTTCTAATAATTTATAAAGCTACGATAAGAGCCATTTTAGATTATGGTTGCCAGACATATGGAGCAACAAGAAACTCCTATATTAAAACCATAGAGCCTATTATTAATGAAGCATTAAGAAGATGTCTTGGGGCCTTTCGCACATCGCCAGCAGAAAGTATGCATGTCCTGGCTGGAGAAGCACCAAGACATCTAAGACAATTAAAATTGACACTAAATTATCTCTTGAAGCTCAAAACCCAAATCAATAATCCGGCCTACAAACATATTATGTTAACATCAAATAACTCGACTAGAAAACCAACAAAAGCAATCCCTACAATAAATAAAAGAGTTGAAAAACATCTAGAAAAAATAGGGGAAATAAAAATAATGCGGGAAATAGAGGCAGAAGTGGCACCCTGGGCTAGGAAAACACCTGAAATAGACCTCTCAATAAACGAAATCGAAAAAACCCAAATTTATGCAAAATCATATACCATGAAATAATAGACAAAAGCCCCAAAAGCATAGCAATATATACAGATGGATCAAAAATGGGAAATTCTACATCATCAGCAGTTGTCATCCCCACCACAGAGGAAACATTATTTCAACATCTACCAACCTATGCATCAATATTTACAGCAGAGTTAACAGCAATAAAAATGGCCCTCAATCATACCATAAATGAGACCAACAAAGAATACATGATTTTTGCTGACTCGCTATCCAGTTTGATGGCAATAGAAAATCATAAAGCCAACAACCCACTAATAACACAAATTCAAAACTCTATAAATACATATATGACAATAAATAACAACAAGATAAAATTTGTGTGGATACCGAGCCACATAGGAATAGAAGGGAATGAAAAGGCCGATAAAGCTGCAAATCTGGCTCATTGCCTCCCTATCTCAAACATACCAATACCATACTCTGATATCAAGGTGATAATCAACCAATACATGGCATCGATGTGGCAACAAGAATGGAGTGAAAGCAAAAGCTTTCTAAGGAAATCAACGCCAAAAATTGAACCTAAGGGATCAAAGATAACTGTTGAAAGAGGATTCCAAACAGCAATAAATAGAATCAAAATTGGCCACACTAGATTGACACATACATGGATCCTTGAAAAAAAGACTTCTCCAAGGTGCGAAATATGTGGAACACAGCTCACAATTTTCCATATAATCATAGAGTGCAAAAAATACAACCAACCCAGATCAGAATTCAATATCCCAGCAAATATGCAGGAAATTTTTTTAAATCGGGATAATATAAATAATTTAATAGGGTATATTATAAAAATTGAACAAATTAACAAAATTTAAATTTAACAATATTAAACCGAAAGAATGAATGAGGGAAAGAATGAAGAAATGAAATAAAAAAAGATACAGGCGTGAAGATAGCCAGAATGTGCAGAAACGCCGTTAAAAACGCATCTCAACAATCAACTATTATATATATATTATATAAGTAGCTAATTTTTATATTTATTTGATGTGTTGCGATTATTTTATTTCATTGTTCTTTACGAACTTGTTTCCTTTTATTTATAATATTGAAAAAAAATTAATTAAATCAATAAAATCATATTTTGTATTATTAAATACAAAATTAAATATTTGATTAGAAAATCACAGTAACAAATTTCAACAATAAAATAAGAAATTATTATAGCCAAAGAATGCCTAAGCAGTCAATAGCATACTGCTAATCTAAAGCAAAAAAAATACTGGAAGACTGTCTATTTTTTGTTGAACTCTGTTTTAACTTCAAGTTCTATTAATTTTAATAATATATAGATATAGGGGAAAGACAAATCTAACAAGCTATTAAAAAAATAATAAGTTTCAAACTATAAGATTTAGATTTTAGTTAGATGAAAGAAGTTAGATAAATTTGGCATAAAATTATAATTTTAAGTTTAAGACTAAATATTTTAAAATGTCGATTTTATTTAGAAAAAGCAATGCCAGATTTCCATTAATATTGACCCAATTTTAAATATTCTTTTATTTTTAAATCCATTTATTTATTTATTTATTTATTTTGAACTTAGTTAGATTGGAGAGGATTTATTTTATATACAGAAAGTAGAAGCTCTTGTTAGCTAATCTAATGTAAAATAAAATGTAAAAAATCTAACTTATCTCTTGACTTATCTAATTGCAAATACAAATACAACAAGCACAGAACAGCTAACTAATCTTTTAATCAAATTTTATTATTTATTTTTATATTACATCAGAAAAAATAGATTAGAAAAATATTAGATTTAGTTTTTTAGTAGGTTCTGTTCTATTCTGCAAACAGGCAGAACTGCTCTAATAATATAATTCTACTTAACATTTACACACTAATGAAGGATCGAAACCTGTAGACGGGAGGTTTAGCGAGAGAATCATCTGTCTGTTTCAATGTTTTGTTTTCGTCCGCTTTTTTGTCCTCTTCCACAGACGACATTTTTGAGAAACCACAAACTAAATAAAATTAAAATTCGTGTATCAATAAAAATTGAAATAGTTACATAGTACGAACTATATAATTAGAACGAACGTTTTAAAAAAAATGGAAAGCCAAAATTAAAATTTATTTTTCAAATGCTTTTTTAAGATCACACATACAGATTTGAAGATCACACATACATATTGATATAAAAAATAGAACCTGATGTTAGAAACTAAATTATAAAAACTGAGTTTCTATAATCTGGTAGAACTATAGAGTAAGCCGATTTAAAAATTATCAAATTAAGTTTTGCTTATTTTACAAACTTACCTGAACTAAATTTCGATGCCAAGTTAATATAAATTTACTTTTGCAAATGACTAATCTAAACAAGCGTAATTGAAATGATGTTTTTCCAATAGATTTTACAATACTGTTTAGTTTAAAAATTTTAAAAGCATTTCTCAGAATTTCATATTTTCTGATGTCTCTTTCCCCATCATTGCTCCAAAAGAAGCCCTCGGTCAGCCAACTAATTTATTTCAACTAAGTCATTCTTTCATACAAAGTTTTCAAAAGTTGTGCAATAAATTATTGGAATTAAAAAAATACAAACCGCTATTTGTATATATATCTGGCTTTCATGGATACATTGATTCAACGAGCCGAGAGACAATTTATAACATGGGCTGAATGAACCACTAAAAGTTATATTGCTATCATTTTTTGTAATCAATTTTGATTCTTACACGTTATTTTCATCTTATATATCATCATAATATCACCAGGATGTTTTCTATTTGCGCCCAAATTTGTATGCAGTTCGCACGATGTTGCTCTGCTCCTGTTCATTTTCACAATTTTTCTTCTAGTTTTGGAGAAAATATTTCTGAAATGATGAATCAAATTATTTCTATCTAAATGTTTTTTGTTTCGTACCATATTCGTGAAAGTATCTTTGCGTAGTTTATAGTCCTTAAGTTTTTGGCTTCTTATGTCGGTGGGGTTTAGTAGGTACCCTCAACAGCATTGTCATCGTTGATTGAATTTGAGTTATTTTGTTGTTCGTTGTTGTACTTCGAGTGCTTATTGTTTACAAGTTTGATTTCCTTTCATAGCATATATATTGCTCCCAGTATTCTCATTGATCCGATCTGACTACCATCATTTGGATGTTCAAGTATCATCATAACTTATTAAATCTCATGTTTTTTTTATTATTTTGTTTTTGTTGTTGTTGCTGTTGTTAATACAACAATATTTATAACAATTACATCAGATATTTCTTGTTTCGGGACTTAAACATGATAAAGAGAAATAACTTTGTTAAATTTATGATCAAGCTTGCATTTTGTATTTTGTGCCTATGCAGACACATAAACTCTCACAAACTTTTATTTTACAAAAAAAACAAATAATTCAAATAAAATAATTAAAAAATGAGGTTTTAAAGACAGAATGTTTAAACTTTTATAGAACCGACGCAAACATTCTGTGTGGAACATATTTGAGCTTTTCAACTGGTGCACAAAAGAGTTTCTTTAGAACTTGCTTACAACAATCATCGTATCGATATCTGCCATTAAAGTAAATCATTTCACACTTTTGATCTTGTACCAAAAAATGAGCAAATTAATCATACATTATCATTGTCGCATTTGTAACAACACCTTTGAAAAGTAGCTTAATTTATTTATAATATCAATAATTAGTTATCACCATTTTTACTGTGAAATAGAAATATGTTTGTGCCTGGTTCGGAACACAACCGAATCTTAAGAAACTTCGGCTTGACAGCCGATTGTTGTTTGGATATCAGGAACTTTAATATGTTTATAAAAATGAATATATTAATGGAAAACAGAATTAATTCAAGCAAAAAGTCGATTTATCTTACAATTTTATCAATTTATTTAATATCGAATTTGAAAAATTTTGGTTTGATAAAACTTTTTATTAAGATGCTTGTATAAATAAATCTACTAATAGAATGACGCTATCTGCAAACAGCAAACACATTTCAATGTCGCTTGCTAAAGAGGACTGATTGAATTTATTACAAATTTATAACTCTAACAAAGCTTTAAAATTTTGCACTAAAATGTCAGCATATAAATTCAATTAGAAATTTATTTCTCTGGTCAGGTTGTTGTGGCGTCACCTGCAAAATTTGTTTGACATCAACCATCAGTGACAGCTTGAACTTTAGTTGCTGAAGCTAATGTCGACAAACTTCACGAAGTACCGCATTAAAAATACCTTCAATTAAATTACAAGGCTAAATTGTAAGGCAAATTTGTTGTTGAAGCAAGTTTGTTTGGATACTGACTTGAAAAATTTGGTTGACATTTATTTTCAGTCAGAGGTGTGTGTTTTATCAGATGAAAAATGAGATGCCGTTACAACGAAGATCATTCATTTCTTTTTGTAAACCATTGAAAATCATCATCGCCATAAGTACGCGTGAATCTACGCATTTGTGTTAAAAGTTAGTAAAAGCCATTGTTTTAACTGAAAACGTAGTGTTTTTAATGGAAAAATTGACATTATAAGTTCATTAGCAGTGGTCAAATATTTTTCACTGCCATAGCTGTCTAGGTCCGCCATTGTTAACCATTACAACATTTCGTAAGTTTAAACAAGAAAAAATTCAAAAAACTTAAAATGGATTCATTGGAAAATCTACTTTGAGTTAAATCTCAAAATATCAGGGCCGGTGCTATGTGCCAGCTAACGTACCAGAGGCCAGGTGCAAAAGAAAAGTGCGGGGCTGTAACTAAAAAAAATTACGGAAAATATAAGATTAAATTTATGTAAGTATAAATTTTTTTTCCGATTTCATACAAAACAGCAAAAGATACTAATCTATACTTTTAACAGACACAAGTTTAAAAACTATACAAGAAATTTATTAGTAATTTAAATGAAAATAAAAACAGTCCTAATAACATTTTAAGCAGTATCGAATGCGGATTTCAAGTCATAGAGGAATTGAAGGTGATAAAAATAAGGAGCAATGTTTGCACGTGCCTCAAGTCTGTCCTGGAAACATTATTTCCATTTTTTATAATTTTACATTAAATGAAACCGTCAAATAAAAATCATAAAACTTTAACAAAAACAAAAAAATTACTTAGCAAATCAGGGTTAATATAAATTGTGAAGTAGCAATGGTATTGAAACAGTGGCTTACTTACTGGCCTTCATAATCGTACAATTGGTGTTAATCAAAATTGGATTTTGTTGATGCATATGAAAGAAATTGTACTAAATAGGATAGACATGGGAATTTTAAATACACGTTTCTGGTACATCAATAACTTATATTTAATTAAAAACAAACATGAAAAGGAAATATCGGGTTCGGACTCATGCATTCGTAGTGTAGGCATATGTTTTGCCTCTAACTTAAGAACTCCAAAAAAGCTTTTAAATAAAACCAGTTGTCTACTTAACCTACACACTTAACCCCTACACACTTATATACACGCACACACACATACACACACATGCACACGCATGCACCCGCACTAACACAAACGCACACAAATGTCCTACGTAATGTCCTCATGTACAGAAAAGTTGATCACAAAATGACACGAGATGTGTTACTGATGGTTGGACTTAGGAGATGATGAGGTGATGATTGAGCGTGGTGATGATGATGCTAACTATGATGATGATAATGACAATGATGATGATGAATTACACTGTTGTTGACAGTGATTATTTGGTGGCTGATAACTTTTATGTTATCGTGGATACTAACAATGCGAACAAATCATAACAATAACAACAATGATGATGACAATGATAACAGTGATCGTATAAGCAAGGAAAATGTACTGTTAATAATAATAATAATAATAGTAATAAT